TCCCCAGTTTCTTACACACGTATAATTAATTTACACCTAGAAGACAAAATATATATATATATATATATATATATTAATTTAAAATTTTATGTATATATATGCCTTATGAATCAGATTATATATACATAACTGGACACCAATAAATACGCCTAGAAGACAATGCCTTATGAATCAGATCAGATTATATATACATAATTGGACACCAATAAATAACCTTGACGTACATTGTCTTGGAGTCACACAATCAACCTAGGGAAATACACAATTAATTATAACCCAAATAAGATAGAGAACGCACTACAAGAAAATGATGAAATTCCAACGGAAATATATTTCAAAATAATTATTCCAACGGCAATTCCAACGGATATTTCAATACTATTATTTCCGTTGGAACTTTTCAATGGATTTCAACGGAAATTCCAACGAAAATATTCCGTTGGAATGGGTTTCCCATTGGAATTTCTGTTGGATTTTGACGATTCCAACGATGGATTTTCCAACGGGGGTGAAAAAAAAATCCAACAGAATTTGCATATTCCAACGAAAATTCCTACGGTAAAAAGCCGTTGGAAATATAGCCGTTGGAATCATTAAATTCCATCTAAAATTCCAATGAAAAATACATTCCAACGGAATATTCCCGTTGAAATTTCTGTTGGAACTATTCCAACGGAAGCTATTCCATTGGAATATCCGTTGGAATTTCCATTGAAATATATTACCATAGGATTTTCCATTGGAATATAACATTTATTTTGTAGTGACGGCTGCAAAAACCGATGTCCCGAGCAGCATTGTCGGAGGAACACGCCGTCGTCGGCCCCTGTCTAAGGCTGGAAAGATGGAGCAAGGCAGAGAAGGTCGTCTTTGTTGGCTCCAACTCATGGCCGGAGAAGTGGGGCGAGCCACCACGACCAAGGGCGCCAGTGGCGGATTGACATATAGCTTAGGTTGGGCAATTGCCTAGGATAAATTTTTTTATAAGTGTAATTAGTATAGATTATCTCTATAATAATTTTGAAAATGACTTAAATGGAGATTGCTATTGGGCTTCTCATCAACTAATTTTTTTATAAGTATTCTCATTAACTATTAAATGCTCATTATAAACATGAAAAAGATAAAAATAAATAAGTAATGTTATCGGTATATAATATTGTACATAGGGGTGTACATAACACTCATATTTAATGGGACCTACCAAAATTAAAAATTAAGTGAACCCCATTACATGTGAGTATTATGTACAACTCTATGTATATTTATTATGTATTCATAGCATTTTTCAAAATAAATATCTCACAAAAAAAATTTCGTACTTTCTCTTGAAATAAATTGTGATTTTTTTTAATAAATAATAAAATTGTGTATTCAGTTTTTCTTGAAGTAAATGTTCTTTATAACCATGACAAAAAATAAATAAAAAAAAATCTGTCAAAAAACAGTATGTATTTTCTCCTGAATTAAATGATGATTTCTTATAAATAATGTTATTTAGTACTTTTATAGTATCAAATCAGTGTTTTTTTTTTTTTTTTTTCTAATTATTGTAATATAAGCGCGACTCATTTGTAACAGACAACTACAAGTATTTCCGATTGAGGTTTGAGGCCGAAAATAGGCAAAATTTCAAAAATGGTCCATTATGTTGGCTATTTTCCGAAAATGGTCCATCATATAGGGTGTCATCAATAATGGTCGACTATATTGTCATTTTTAATCAAAACTCGTACAAATGTCAACATAGTGGACTAAAAGTGATTAAAAGTTTTAATCACTTTTAGTCCACTATGTTGGCATTTGTACGAGTTTTGATTAAAAGTGACAATATAGTGGACCATTATTGATGACACCCTATATGATGGACCTTTTTCGGAAAATGGTCAACATAGTGGACTAAAAATGAAATTTAGCCCCGAAAATACATGCAATATATTGTCTAGCAGACCTAATGTTTAGAGAATTATACTTTTTAAATGAATGTGACACTTTCAATCTAAAGCACAATTTAAAAATTAACATAAGAAACTAATATTTCATAGCATAAGTATGCATTCTTGTTGAATAAAATATAATGAATCAGAATGCATAACATGCATAACGGTTAAATCACCTCATACAAAGAATAAAAATATTATAAAGATTTTTTTTATATATAAAGAGAATTAATTTTTAAAATGATAAGTAATTTTGTTGCTCAAGCTCATGAAAAATTCTGTGATTCGCCTCGCCGCTGAAGGCGTACCCACATACAAGACTAAGTAGGGTTATGGTCCAAGTTGAAAAACAAAAATACATAAACACTATAATGTATTATTAATTAAATTCTAATTAAGCCCAAATCTAGATTAAAATTCCACTTAATACATACCCAATTTAGTTTTTATTGAAGACATTAAGAAAGCAAATAAACTTCGAGCAGTGGTAAAGGGAATACTTAGGGGTGAATTTTCTTACCATGTGGGCACTACTCCCAAATGGAATTTTAATGTCATTTTAAGGCTAAAATTTAAAATGATCATATAATTAGGCCAAAGTTTAAATTTTTCACTCTGTGTTGACACTTTAAAATTGAGTTCAATAATTTGCCAATTTAATCAATTTTGGTCATTTTTTATTTGCACAATTGACAAAAACATATGGCATTTTAAAATCTAATATGACGTGATTGTGGCTTATGTGACAAGATTAGGATATGTTGAGTTCAATATCAAATAATTTATGTCAGTCCATGCCTTACTTGCAATTAACTAAACTTAAATTTGTAAAATATTCCATAGAACTTATTAAATTTTAAAATTTTAAAAAATGAGCCCTTGCTATCCGATCCCTATTTCGTCTTCACCATCCACTCTAGAAAATTCGTGTCAAAATTCGGTCGTCTTCTTCAATTTTTCGGCAATTCACGTCAATCCACCGAATACTTGTTCATCTTTGTAAGATGAACAGAGTAAAAAAAATCAATGTTGATAAATAATTTTTTTTTAAAGAAAGTTGAATATTTAGGAGAAAAAATAGCATTGTTCATTGTAATGCAAAAATATCTATATCTATATAATGGACCAAACTATTTTGCCAAAAATGGATGAAGTATTCCCGCTCAAACTTTTTCGGCTAAAATTGGGAATATTTATTGTAGGTAAAGATTGTTAATGATTTATTTATCCCGTAAACTTTTATTGATTTAATGATAATTTATTGATTATTGATCCCGTAAATCTCCAAAATATCTATCTATATATTAGTACATCAATATACACAAGCATATGATAATCTATCTATAATCATCGATCCCGTAAATTTGCCAAATTAAATATCTATCTATATATTAGTACAACAATATACACACGCATATGATAATCTATCTATATATTAGTACATGAAAGAACAACGCATATGATATAATATATATATAATATAAGATTTTATTCTAACATATATGTTTCAATAATATTTTCAAATTAGCAAAGATTTTATTCTAACATATATGTTTCAATAATATTTTAAAATTAGCAAAGGTTTTATTGCCATCTTTACGTAAATTATAATTTATTTATTAATTAATATAGACATTACCATCTTAATTTACTGTGATGTGATTATATAAATCTTGAATAAAATTTATACTACGATCGCAGAAAAATAAATTTCATACGTACTCAACGAATAAAGCTTTAAAAAAATGTCTCCCCTTTTTGTGACGATAAAAAAACTGACGGACGCATTGCCACAGCTGGCGCTTAAACTTCGTCTAATTAGGATGTACGAAAGGGTTAAAACTCATGGATGAAATTGTTGGAATCATAGGTAACATGCACAGCTCTATTCCACGTCAGCACAAGAGAGAGAACACGAGATAGCCGTTGCCATGCAGCCCCATGCAAAGACAAAATTTGTTTTGGAGTATTGTACTATGTCCTTAGGAAGTCTTATCCAATTTATGCTAGGTGTCATTCATCTAGTGTTAGACCTAATATAGATGGTGAGGATTAACTTATGAGATAGGCTATATATAGGGTCATTGTAGTAGCAGCTCGGTTTTATGCAGAAACAGCAACACCATTTTTATGATATAGCTTTTATTGCTTTCTTTTAAGCTTTCAAGTTTTCAGCTTTTGTTTCCAATGGACATTGACATATCCTTTTATGGTATCAGAGCTGGTTAGCCAAACCAGTCTCTGTCAAAGCTTCTTTTTTCATTTCATTTTCATTTACCATATCCATATATTATAAAAAATGACCACACAATCCTCAGATCCCATTATTCAACCGCAGGGCCAATTAATTAGCATAAAACTTTCAGATACAAATTATTTGATATGGAAGCAGCAAGTGTTGGCTGCTACCAGAGGTTATGGCTTGGAAGGATATCTCAATGGAGACATTCAAATTCCAGATCAGTACATCACAGATCCAGACAGTGATGGCCCTAAATCTAACCCAGCCTATATCCTTTGGGTGAAGCAAGACCAACTTCTAGCTTCTTGGCTGTTTTCATCACTCACTGAATCTCTCCTCATATCCACTGTTGGTCTAACAACAGCAAGAGAAATCTGGGAATCCCTAGAGACAGCTTTTGCTAGCCAGAATGCAGCAAAGGTCATGCAGTACAAATTGAAGTTACAGACCACCAAGAAAGGAACCAGCTCAATGAAGGACTATCTCAACAGCATTAAGTCCTATTGTGACTTGATCACAGCTGCAGGCCAAAGAATCGGTGAGGAAGACCAGATCTCTCATGTCCTTGCAGGGTTGGGAAATGAATACAACCCAGCCATAGTCTCCATCCTTTCTAGATCTGAGCCCAGCAAGCTAAGGGAGGTTCACTCTCTTCTCCTCAGCTTTGAAAACAGACTTGAAGTCACTGAAGGAGGATATTCTGAAGACAATGGTCAGTATTCAGTGAACTACACTACCCAAAACAAGAAAGGTGGCTTCAAAAGAGGAGGTGGCTCATCTCAGTTTGATAGAGGAAGGATGAACAATCAAGGAGGAAGATCTGGCAGAGGTGGTCCCTTTAGAGGAAGAGGGGGCAAAAACAATGGCAAACCAAGGTGTCAAATCTGTCATTACAACAACCACACTGCAGATAAGTGTTACTATAGATGTGATCTGAACTTTGTGCCAAGACAAGGCCCCAACTCAAACTTCCAAGGACAGTCTAGTGGAAATCAGTATTCAGGAGGAACCTCAGTCAACCTTACAGACATGAACGGATCTTTTGGAGCTCAATCTGAAGTGTGGTATCCTGATTCAGGTGCCACAAATCATGTGACACATGATCTGGCCAATCTCAATCTTGCATCAGAGTATAATGGAGAAGAAAGGGTTCATCTTGGAAATGGATCAGGTATGAACATCTCTCATTTTGGTGAATCCATAGTTATGTCCAATAAAAATCAAAAATTCCTTCTAAAAAACCTCTTACATGTGCCAAATATCACAAAAAACTTGGTCAGTGTATCCCAGTTTGCTAAAGACAATTGTGTGTTTTTTGAGTTCCATCCTTCATTCTGTCTTGTTAAGGATCAGGATACAAAGGAAGTGCTTCTCAAGAGGGCAGCTAAAGATGGTCTCTACAGTTTTTACCTACAAACCAAGATCACTGAACCTAAGAAACAAGCTTCTCAGCCAGTAAACAAGAACCCTATCCTCCTTTCAGCTGAATTGGAAAATAAAGTTAGTCTAGATGTTTGGCACACTAGATTTGGTCATGAAAGTTTAGATATTGTAAGGAGAGCATTGAGTGACTGTAATATCTTTTTTATTGATAATGAGAATCAAGGTTTATGTTCAGCTTGCATGCAAGCCAAAATGCACAAGTTACCATTCTATCCTTCTGAAAATAAAAGCTTTTCTCCTATTGAGTTTATCCATTCTGATCTTTGGGGGCCAGCCCCTATAAGATCCTTTCAAGGCTATAATTACTATGTTTCCTTCATTGATTATGCATCAAGAAACACCTGGGTTTATCTGCTTAAACAGAAATCTGAAACCTTACAAGCATTCATTCACTTTAAAAACTTTATTGAGAACCTTTACTCCAAAAGAATAAAAATATTTCAGAGTGATGGAGGTGGAGAATTTGTGGGAATGAGTAAGTTCTTGTCTGAAAATGGGATAAAGCACCAAATCTCTTGTCCCTATACCCCTGAGCAGAATGGGCTAGCTGAAAGAAAACATAGGCATTTGATTCAAGTTGCCTTAGCTCTTCTTGCTCAGTCCAACTTACCCTCTTGTCATTGGGATGATGCAGTTTGCAGTGCTGCCTTTATAGTTAACAGGACCCCCACAAAAATCTTGGACTATAAAACTCCTTTTGAAGTCTTAAATCAAAAGAAGCCAGATTATTCTCATCTGAAATCCTTTGGTTGTTTGTGTTACCCTCTGATGAAGCCTTACAATCAACACAGACTGCAGTACAAAAGCCAACCTAGCATATTTATGGGGTATAGTAGTAAACATAAGGGTTATAGGGTGCTTCTTCAAGATAAAAGAGTGATCTTAACAAGACATGTGATGTTTGATGAGTCTCAGTTTCCTTATATAAAGGACCAACAAATACCTGAAATGAATATCCCTCACACTGATAATGCTCCTCTCAATGTTATTGCTACTGAAAGCTTGCCTTCTACTCCAATCCCATCTTCTCCAACATATTCTCCCTTGTCAGCTCAAACAACTCCTCAGAACAGTCCAAGCCCATCACCTCAAAACTCACCTAACCTTCATGGACATATCTATGTGAATTTACCAATAGAGAATGTTGTGTTACCTGCTGATGTTGTTACTACTTTTGTTGAGCCCTCTAACAGGAATGCAGGTGGTCATTCCATGATAACAAGAGCCAAAGTAGGAATACACAAACCTAAGGTCTATGCAACACTATGTTCAGAAGACAAAGAGCCAAAGAATGATGATGAGGCCTTATCTGATCCACAGTGGAGATTGGCAATGCAAAGGGAATATGATGCTTTGGTAAGAAACAAGACCTGGACATTGACTCATCTACCAGCAGACAAGACTCTAATTGGTAGCAAATGGGTTTACAAAGTAAAGCACAATGCTGATGGAACTGTGGCAAGACACAAGGCTAGGCTAGTTGCAAAGGGATACACTCAGTATCCTGGTTTTGATTATGGTGAGACATTCAGTCCTATGGCTAAACTTGCAACAATAAGAACTGTATTGTCTATTGCTCTAGCTTCAAACTGGGATATTAAGCAAATTTACATTGACAATGCATTTCTCCATGGGAATTTAGATACTGATTTGTACATGGAGCAGCCAGTTGGTTTTGTCATGCCTCAGAAGGAGCACTTGGTGTGTAGGCTGCACAAGTCCATTTATGGACTAAAGCAAGCATCAAGGGCTTGGTTTGACAAGCTTGGGTCATGCCTTCACTCACTGGGATTTAAGAGAAGTCAAGCTGATAACTCCCTTTATTACAGGCATTCAAATGGTAACTGCACTCTTGTGTTAGTTTATGTTGATGATATGGTTATAACAGGAAGTAACACTTCAGAAATTACCAAGCTCATTGATCAACTTGGTAAGGAATTCTCTCTGAAGGATCTAGGAGGTTTGAATTATTTTCTGGGAATAGAGATTCTTAAAACCAGATCAGGACTGTTTCTTAATCAGAGAAAATACATTGTTGACTTATTGAAGAGAACAGGAATGATAGATTCAAAGGGGCTGCTATCACCAATGGTTGGCTCACCATTACTCTCCAAATTCAGTGGCCAACCCATGGAAGATCCTAAACTTTTTAGGTCAGTAGTTGGTGCACTTCAGTATGCAACCATCTCAAGACCAGAACTCTCTTACAGTGTTAACAAGGTTTCACAATACATGCAAACTCCCATGAACACTCATTGGAAGGCAGTTAAAAGAATCCTGGGGTATCTTGCTGGAACTCTTGACTATGGAATGCACTTTTACATGTCAAAGAACTTGCAGATTACAGCTTATGCTGATGCAGACTGGGGATCTGATATAGATGATAGAAGGTCCACAAGTGGATTTTGTATTTTCTTGGGTCCAAATTTAATCTCTTGGAGCTCTAAGAAACAGCACATTGTGTCAAGGTCAAGCACAGAAGCAGAGTACAGATCATTGGCTCATGCAGCTTGTGATGTGGTTTGGCTACAATCTTTGCTCTCAGAACTCAAGGTTCATACACCTCAACCAGCAACTATTTGGATGGACAATCAAGGTGCAGTGAGCTTAGCTGGAAATCCAGTTTATCATTCAAGAACTAAACACTTTGAAATAGACCTTCATTTTATAAGAGAGAAGGTTGTCAGTAAGCTCATATCAGTTAGACATATACCAGCATTGGATCAAACAGCTGACTTGTTCACAAAGCCATTAACGGGGCAGCTCTTCACAAGGTTCAGGAACAAGCTCTCCATTTTGCCTAGACCCTTGCTTGATCTGAGAGGGGGTGTTGGAATCATAGGTAACATGCACAGCTCTATTCCACGTCAGCACAAGAGAGAGAGAGCACGAGATAGCCGTTGCCATGCAGCCCCATGCAAAGACAAAATCGGTTTTGGAGTATTGTACTATGTCCTTAGGAAGTCTTATCCAATTTATGCTAGGTGTCATTCATCTAGTGTTAGACCTAATATAGATGGTGAGGATTAACTTATGAGATAGGCTATATATAGGGTCATTGTAGTAGCAGCTCGGTTTTATGCAGAAACAGCAACACCATTTTTATGATATAACTTTTATTGCTTTCTTTTAAGCTTTCAAGTTTTCAGCTTTTGTTTCCAATGGACATTGACATATCCTTTTAGAAATGTGATTCACTTTATTGAGTGCATCTTTCATGATAGCGAGGTGCGTTTATTGCCCAATATTATTAGTCTAACTATCTAATGTGTTATTGATATTTATTGGCCAATATTATTATTCTAGCTATCTAAGGTGCTAATGATATTAAATCCCTGTGCAAATGAAGAAGATGTGATATTTTCATCCTTCTTTATTAACGAAGGACTTTTCTTTTGTTCATTACATTCATCAGACGCACGGGCAGGTAAATTTTCATCCAGTGTGCTTATTTTACTTAGTGGCTTCTACAATATGTACAATTTTCCTTTTTATGGCTTCTTTATTAAATCCGCCAATATGTACAATTTCTTTCTTTTTTTTTTGGTGGTTTTATTTGATATGTTTATGTTGTGTATGGTACAAAAAGTTTAAAGAAATCCCGGGGAGAAGCTATCTACAATTTTCCATGGGTTTGTGCAATGGAACACGTTTGGTCGTGACAAAGCTATCTACTCATGTGCTCGAGTGTAAGATACTTACTGGTGCCAAGTCCGGGGAGAAGGTCTTGATCCCATGGCTAACGCTCACTCCTTCCGATCTACGAATACATTTCAAGTTCAAGCGGCGACAGTTTCCACTTATTGTTTCGCGATGACTATAAACAAGAGCCAAGGTCAGTCGCTAACACATGTCGGTCTGTTTTTAAAAAATCCAGTATTCCGTCATGGACAGTTGTATGTGGCCGCATCACGTGTAACTAATCTTAGTTGGTTAAAAATCTTAGTGTGTGGAGATCAAGCTTCTAAGACTCAGACTGAAAATGTTGTGTATAAGGAAGTTTTTAGTAATATCTAAATATAATGAGGTTGACTTGTACTAATTTTTTTATTTATTATTATTTCAATATTTAATAGCTTATTAAAATATGTTGTCTTTTTTTGAACTATATGTAATATGTTATCTCTTCTTTATCTGCAATTACCTTTCAAATAAACGTAACATCAGTTACCACTTGTGATTTCCTAACACACATGTCGGCTTATTATGTTCCAATAAATGAAAAACTCTATTTTGTACTATAAGCAGTGCTCTTGTTTAAAAATATTAGTTTGTGAATACCACTTTGACCGATCATACCATCAATCTATTTATAATGGAATTTTCATTAATTAACTTAGTAAAATAATTGTTATTGAACCATATTCTCTCGTGCATCGCACGGGTTTAACGCTAGTATACAATATAAACTACTAACTTAATTATTTAAAATAATGTGTAACATAATTAGGAAAAATATGTAAAATAGATACCATATTAATTAACAATTCAATGATTTATTTATTTATTTATTTATTTATTTATTTAGAGAGGGAGTCAGAGAGTTACTTCTGAATTACCAACACTATGCTTTAGATAGTTAATCTACGCACATTGAAAACTAAATCAAAGTAAAAAAAATATTTAGTAATGTAAATTAAAGTAAAAAATAATTTAGTAATGTAAATTAATAGATAGATAGTTATCAATCTCGTTTTCCTATGTCCATTGATGTAACATGATATTAGTATCAGAAATTCTATAGTCATGAGATGACTCCTTTATGGAGTCATCTATAACTTTATTTACTGACACGTATCCAATTTGTATTTACTGCAGGACACGTGTTAATACATCATTTATGAATAACTATGGATGACTCCATAGCAAAACCAAAATTAGTATAATACACATTGTGGTCATAGTATTTAAAGATTGGCTTATGACACAATCTTAATAATATTACACACGATGGGTATGTGAATTTGGAGGAATAATTTTAAAATTGGTCCTATAATTTGGTCACAATCCAAAAAACCACCCATATATTGACTACTTTCAAAATTGGTCCTATAATTTCAAAATTTAATCAAATTTGGTCCTTTTTTAATCACATTTTAATCCATATTCCGAATAAAAATGATCAAATTTGATTAAATTCTGAAATTATAGGACCAATTTTGAAAGTGGTCAATATAGGGGTGGTTTTTTGGACGGTGGCCAAATTATATGACCAATTTTAAAATTATACCTAATTTAGGCTTTAGTCATTACATTGGTGTGATGTGGGCTATGCTGTTTTTTCTTGTAAACGGGTTTAAATTCTAGTTCTTAAAAAGTAATGAGTAGACATATAAATTGGGCCACAGCATGTAAGCAACTCCATTGTTTAATTGTTCATAGAAATTGAAAAAAATAAAAAAATAAAAAAAAAAGATTCAATTATCATTGAATTAATTAGAAGAAAAATAAATAAATAAATAAAAGTAAGGTACAAAATATAGTAATAGGGTAAATTACACCAAACCCCCCATATTATACTAAATCTGCGCGTTAGTCCTCTGTAATTTAAAAATTGCGTCAAACTTCCTTGTAATGTACTTTTGCATGCGCGAAGCACCCTAAACCGCTTAAGATGACGGAAGTGGTGTGCACGCGTGTGCTGTGCAGTTTTTCTTCATTTTTTCACCCAAAAGTCGCAGAAATTACTTTTTTACCCCTAAATTAATTATAATAATGATATTTGAAACTTCCAAAGCATGAAATCAAAGAAGGAAAGTAATACAATTAAAATAAATAAAAACCAAATTAAATAAAATTAAATGTGAAATTTGAAATAATAAATAAATATATTACTATTTAATAAAAATAAAACGATAATTTCATTTATATAAATTAAAATATAAATATAATGTAAAATAATGTGAATATAAAATTTAAATATATGTTAATTGAAATATTATAATATAAATAAATAATATTTACTTAATTATTTCAGGGGTGGACGCAGACTTTTAGGGCAACGAGGGCCCAAATTACGGTCAACGCCGAAGGACAACAATCAAATCAATATTTAACCAATTACAAAATTAAAAATATTAAATCTTGATCACCAAACATCTTGTTTCTTATTT